AAAGTCTTGAATTTAACTTGCCTTATGCTGTAGGAACCGTGTATATAAAAATGCCCTGAAATGTTAAAGATATAATTATATGCAACCCAACCAGGTTCCCAGGATCTTTTGGAACAGAAACAGATCCTCTTGTTTCAGATGTTTAGTGGTTTTGAATATAGACATAAAGCAGTTGGATTGGACAATAATTCGGTATCAAAATATATGGCAATATAGTTTTATTCAATAACACTGATATGAGTTTAAAGCACATGCTTGATAAAGTTAATATACATTTATGCATAATATTTATGTAGTTTTATGTGTTCTGTTTTTTAAAGCAAATACTTCCTTAATGTTTTTAACTTTATATATTTGGCAGAATAATTATCTTATGTTTGTACAGCTGTGAGCATTCTAGGCAATTCTTTCGAGGCTTTATTTTAGTTATTTCTAGATGAAAATTATATAATTTGTCATCAGTTAATACATATATGATGATAAAAGCTTTGGCCGGTCCTGTCAAACAGGCTGAAGCATCTTTGTTAGGTAAGATGGATCATTGTGAGAATGTTGCTGTTATTCATCAAATCCCACAATTTAGGTTCAGAATGTTTATATTTTCCCTTATTAACCTGATTGTGTTAGTATAACAAAAAAAGGTTGAGTTTAAAGTTTTAAACTTCATCTTTACTCTTTTGTTTTGCTTTGCTTTTTAAGGAAAATAAAATAACTGCTTGGTATTAAACTTGACTCTATTCCACATGGCTTGGTTTTACAATGAAGGGAAAATAGGAAGAGCCTGAATTTGAACATAAAAAGCTCAATAAAACCTGACATTTTTTATTTATTTTTTTTTTACCCTCTAATTTTTTTCATAGCCTCTGGTTTCCATTTTATTTCCTTGTCACGGATCATTGGTTTCAGTTTCTGAGGTGTTTCTCAGTCCGCTCACTGGTTATAGTTATTGGATGAAACAGTTGCCAGGTGCTGACATTTTAAGGTAGCTGGAAAAAGCAGTAAATATCTGAGGCAGGGTTGGTGTTATTCAGATATAGCCTGTTTCCATGTGTGTGACTGTGTTTTACAAACGTTGTAGGGTTTTTTTTTTACCCCGACTGTTTAACTTATTAATTAGACTAAACCTTTTCTATTTAATGTTAGTTAGAATTACTGAAATAATTTGTTTCTGCTAAGTGCTTAGAAAATGAGAAACAGAAATCTTAACTCAGGCAGAATTACTTTAACTAACACCAATGGTGACAAGGCACAAAAGTGAGCAGTTTACCCTATTAACTAGCTGCAACAAACTAAAAAAAAAATATATAAATGAAATTGTATTGTTTTGTAACTTTTTTGGGAGTCTTGCCTGGTATTTCAGAACCACAGGATTGGCGGGTGGTACCCTTATTGTTGCTGAATGAGGCTGTAAGTTTGGAGGCACCACATACAGTAGACCAGGGGTGACCAACATGGTGCCCGCGGGCACCAAGGGGCCCTCAAGGACCACAAGGGGTTCCCTTACAGTCTTCTGAAAATAGAACAACTCAACAGTGAGCTGCGTTTGAAATTTCATTGTATTCTGTTGCTCTTCTTTTTTTAAATCAGTTATAGAACATTTCATCATTTAATCTTATATGGCATTTAAGCATTTATAGAGATTTCAAAGTGAAAATGTCTAAAATAAAATTATAAATTTAAAGAAACGATAAAGATATGTATATAATGTATGAAGTTTAGGTGAACATTGACCCTTGCAATTCATAGGTCAGTATTGGTAGCCCTTCCTGTGACTCAGTAACCCTGAATTAGCCCTCAACTGTAAACAGGTTGGTGACCGCTGCAGTAGATCCTGAGGACAGGATGTAACAGTTAATGAGTTAATGAACTATTTGTACCATAAATCTTTTAACATTGACATGACACATTCTCACTGTAATTTGGGAACTTAAGTTTTCTTCCACAGTCCAACTCATGACTTATTGGGTCAGCTGATATCTCTGAATTGCCTTTAGGTATTCATGTATGTACAGGAGTGTTTTTGATGTTCGTGGTTGTCTGTGTTAAGCTGTTATGGACTGGCCACCTACAGAGATCATACTGTCAGATTGGTAAAAAGTTTCTGTCAAGGAAAACCAGTCGATGGCATTGAGTCATTGACTTTCAGGACACGCTCCTGCTGGATGAGATTTCGGCAAAGATTTTTCGATTGAGTTTTTGTCGTTGACTCTTCAACAATCCGGCACACAAAGCATGCATTTAGCAGCAGTGGAGAGGAAAAACTCCCTTTTAAGAGGAAGAAATCTCCAGCAGAACCAGACTCGGTGTGAGCGGCCATTTGCCGAGGCCGACTGGGGTTCAAGGAGAGAGGAACTTTTAACTAGTTCCACAGGCGGCCCCCTCCAGGAAACACACAGCCAAACAGACTAGCTCTGAGCCAGCTCCCATGTCAGAGGATGAAAGAGAGAACATCCAGCTAGTCACAGTCAGAGAAACAGGACTACACTGAAAAACAGGCCGAGTTCCAAAATCTATAAACAAAGCTGTTGAAGGCCGCAGCACAGCTGATATTTCTCTCCAGGATGGAGTCACAGCCAAACAGGAAAAGACCTGAAAAAGTACTGTCTAGAAAAGGCAGAGAGAATATACGTAACTGAGAAAATAGAGATAGAATGAGGAAAAGTAGTCCCTATGTCCTCCAGCAGCTTAAACCTCTAGCAGCATAAATATAGGAAATAGCCCAGGACAACCCAACCATTTTGGATGAAGTCTGAGTTTTGCTACCAAATGTAACTGATTCCAAAGAAAAGCAGCATTTTGGTGGTGAAACACAGTTTTAGTACTGGAAGTGAAAATGTCTTAAAATATTCCTGGATAACTCTTTAAACATTATGCATCATTCTCGACCAACAGTAGACAGGTGCGTGACTAAGCATCCATCCATTTTCTTACACGCTTAATCCCAAGCGGGGTCGCGAGGGGTGCTGGTGCCTATCTCCAGCTGTCTATGGGCGAGAGGCGGGATACACCCTGGACAGGTCGCCAACTATCGCAGGACAACATAGAGACAAACAGGATAAACAACCATTCACGCACACACTCGCACCTAAGGAGAATCTAGAGAAGCCAATTAACCTAACAGTCATGTTCTTGGACTGTGGGAGGAAGCCGGAGTACCCGGAGAGAACCCACGCATCCGTGACTAAACAATCAGTCAAAAAACTAATATTGAAATACATTGGTCTGTGTCTAAAGTCAGAGATTTAAGCAAACTGACAGACTTTGCTTCTGTCTAAGCGTGTTCAGGTCAATGATAACTGGGCCCGTTACTTTATTTATTGCTGGGACTATTGCTCTAAACTATGAAATAAGTATGTTATGTATTAATTGTTTTGATATCATATCGGGTTAACGATGGTATCAGTCAATGCTAAGCTGCAATATCAGTGCCTTATTGAAATGAAAAGTTGTATTATGACATCTTTATCAGACACTGTCTGCGCATTTGGTCTAATTATGATATAAGTAATTTAAAGTGAATTTATGATGAATAAATGTTCTTTTTAAAGGGAAACGCTGCAAAGTCTCGTAGGTTTTAAAGCTACAGTGTGTAATAATTACAGGGATATACAGTCAGAAATGTAATATATTATACATAACTATGTTATTTTATCATCATCTACGAGCTCAGCCTCTTAACCTTAATATTTGCGTTGCCTTAGAATTCATTATTTATAATTACATAGGAGCGGGTCTCGCAGCCATGGAGGCAGACATCTTTGCGCTACGGCAGCGCAGAGCCAACAAACTAGCGATTGCGAGAAAAAATAACGGGTATATTTATTATCTTAAGT